TATGGAAGTTGTTTGCCCCTTCTTTCTTCCAGGATGTTTTCCCACCTTCCTAGTCTAGTATACATTATATCCTAGTGGTCTCCCATCCAAATACTAATCAAGTCTGACTCTTACTTAGTTTCTGAACCAGAAAAGATAGACCATGTATCGCCACCTGCTGGAAGGTCATACTCTTTTTTTATATTAATTCAAATTAAACTGAAGATTTAATCAAATTGAGAACAATCTATTAAGGAGATTTCCTTTATATATCCTATTTTCTCCACATATCCCATTTAAATCAAGCTTGTACAAGAAACCTTTCTTAGTACATTATATCCATAATTATTGATTTCCCTTTCACCAAAAATATCCACCAATTTATTAAATCACAATCTCCTAAAATTTGTGGAAATAATTTACATATTAAAATGTTATCCAGATGTTTACATCATCTTTGTTTAAATTTCAATATACAATGCTACCCCCCAGAACTTTGTAGTTTAATCTGCAGGGCTTTTCAAATTCATTTCTTACCTTAAACATAAAATAGGATAACCCTACACAAGTAATGAAGAATTTTGTTCAATTCACTGAATTTATTCCCAGATAACCAGATAAGAGAATTGCTCTCTAAATCTATTATTTGTACTAAGTACATGAATTCCACCTAAACAGTTAATTATTCACCAGATCAATGGGCCAGCAAAGCACTCAAAGATTCTCTCAACAAAGAAACTGCTTCTTAACAAATTATGCCTGAACTTAATAAACATTTCAGTCAACATTCACTACTGTGGTAGTGAAGGGGGAAAAAAGTGAGGCCTACTTTTGTTCTCATAGACACCAATATATGTAAAGCACTGCCTCCATCTGTCAAGAGTAAAGAACTAGATATGTTTTATTACACAATAGACGATTCTGTAGTAAATACTACCATAAAGATCATCTGACACTTAAAAAAATATAATCAGAAAAAGTTGCTTATAAAATGTAACTTAAAATAAAAGCCCTTGTACTAACTTTTGAGATCCAAAGTGAAAGCACATCATTCTTCAAACATCTCAATCATAGGTCTAAAGCATTCCTACACATTCATAAAGCTTCATAAACAAGTCAATCATATCATAGTTGCAGGACCGTGAGAAAGAAATATTCTATAAAATTAATCCTATGTTCCTCTTGCTATTCCTTGTCACATTCGTTTCTTTTTGTTTTCAGACTGCTGGATGGCACACACTGGTCCAAAACAGAAATCTGAACAGAATGTGATGGAGTCTGTAAACTAATAACAGCCTCCCTTAATAGGACTGCTCGTGTGAGAAACTGCTCTAAAAGATCATCATCAGAAGTGAAGCTGAGACTCGGCAGACAGAGAGAAGTATGCCAATTAGATATACAGATGAAAAACATGCTTGTAACCAACAATACTGAGAATAAATAAATAAAAACAAATATTTCCAGTTTCAAAATGGTTAATGGGATGAAGGTTCCAATTACTAATAATTTAATAACTTGGGGCATAGCAAAATATAACTTTTTTAAAAATCAATATGTGACGTAGAAGCATACAAATATGAATCTTCGGCATTGTTAATGTGTTTTACTTTGCATTAAAAATGTATTAACTATAATAAAAAGCTTTCCTCTTCCCTAAATTTAATATTGTGCTTAAAACAGTGATACAAAAAATAAATAAATAAAACTATTGGAGAATTATGTAAACCATTAAAGAAACTGTTAAAATATTTACATTATGCTCACTATGGCCTTCAAAACAAATAGATTGTTATGATTAAATTCCAACTTGTTTTATTTTCTCGAAAACCTTTTCCCTTACCTGTTAATTGCTAAAGCAAATAAAATCTATTTATATTACAATGCATTTTACTCTGAAATTATTTCAGTGTTACCTGCATTAGTTGGTGTAGTTTAGATTAAAAATCTACAAATTCATAAACCAAGATATCAGGATGTTTAACTTTTGCATGCTATTGAAAATACAGTATCATGTATGATTCCTGCCTTCAAATGGTTAAGCAACCAACTCAAATTATCTTACTGAAACAGATTTTTTTTGAAGTATAAGCTCTAAAGTTTTAAAATGCTACAGACAACTGTTAATCTACAAACAATACATGTTCCTGGCATTTGCATACCTCACAACTTTCTATTTACACAAAATGTCTTTATGGGAAAATCTAATGACACTGTTTAGGATCCAAGATGAGAACCTTATCGTGAATTACTTACAAACCTATATGCTCCTGACAAACATTGTGTAAATTTTAGAAACTGGGATGTAAAAGTCATTCATCAATCAACAGCATAGCTAGAAATTGCATTCCAGGAAGCTGCAAGCTATTATGCTTGCAATATTTTTTAAGGGTTGGAGTCTTTAAATTCCTGCAGTGGTTTGATGTTCTGAACATACAAGACACATTTGGACAATAAAGATGATATAGACAAACATAAAAAAAAGTTATACAGGTCACTTTTGTGAAAATATAAAGGGACTGATTAAAAATTCTATAAAGCATGTTTCACTGCAGATGGAAAAAAAGAAAAATCTGAAATCTCAGTTCTCAACATCAAATTAAATACATATCAAATTAATCCTTATTTTAAGCAATCCAATCAGTAAAATGTTATGCTAGTAAAAAACTACTGTCATTTAAAATATGTATGGATAGTCCCACTGAAACAAACAGGAAAACAGCTGCCCTAAAGGATTTCTTCAAACTAAAATACCAACCATAAACCAACTAAAACTCAAAGGAAGTTTAAACTTAAAAAGAAGCTCTTCCAAGTTTAAAAGCAACCAAAAATGCCTTTTGGTAGCACAAATAATAATACCTTTAGGTTAAACATTTTCAACTGCACTCAGAAATTCATGCAGAGAAGAGGGATGAACCATTACAACTGTTTATAATTTTTCAAGCCTCTGAAAAAAACTTTTAAAAAAAGAAAATATTCAGCACCCAGCTTAACCTAATTTCTAATGTGAACAAGCACTCCTCTGCTAAAGATCTATACACAAGAATTTTTTTTAAAAAAATACAAATGCTGTACAGAAAATCTTACGACTTGCAACTCCTAAATGGAAAGTTGAAATTACTCCAATATTACATGCAGCCTCTGATTTTTTCCATTTCAATTTTTATACAAATTATGTGTATCGCATACAAACAGGCAACACATAAATAGTACACAAGTGACTAAAAAGTTGTTCATGCTTGCAACATAAGTCCATCCGAGGTACCCGTGTCACAAGAAAAATGCACCTGAATGGACGATGAATACTGTCTGTTACCATGGCACCTCAATCTAATTACATGACTGATCAGGGCTAGAGAGTGTGCACTGAAACCTACACCACTGACATGTCTCTACATGACAGTACACGCACACACATACATATACAGAGAGAAATGTGGAAAACCTATCAGCTTTTGGCTTACATTTACAGTGGATGAGAATAAGGGTAGTGCTATTCAACACAGAATGACTTGTAAAACAGTTAATAGGAGAAAAATAAACGTATAACTCTAACTAATACAGTATCTCATCAGTTATCTCTTCCTCATTCATAACCCTTATTCTCAGAGCAATAACACTAGGCTGTCCTCACCAGCCAGACAAACAAATCCACATTCACTGATGAAATCTGAATTTGCTGTTTTAAGGTTTCATTGTAAACTGAAATAAACTGCCCCAGAACATCAGCAAAGTAACTGGTTACACTGAATCACACGTAATTTACTAACCTGGTCAAAAACATGAAATGTGGATTGCTAAAGATTTAATCACCTCCATCATGAAATATTTCATATTCAAATATATGGGTAAAAAAGAATCCACAAACTAAGACATGCAACTACATAATTGTGGTTACCCAAAGACATAATTGTAAAACTAATTATTATGCACATTATAAAATTATAAAGTATGGGATTCCCTTCCTCCTCCAATTCTATCTGGGTTTATGATCACTAGGGAAAAATATTATTCTGGAGGAGTCCCTATTGCATACCTTACGGTAAACAAAATAAAAATAGCTTGTTCTTGTTAGCCACATAGTGTGGCATTATATAACAAGCTTTCAATTTGCTCTCTTTTCGATCACTGGATTCTGGTCTTTTTCTTTGCTGCTCTTTTTACAAAATCCTAAAACACCTCGGGTATCTCCCTACCTTTCAAAATGTTATTTTGTTGTTACCATTAGCATGTACAATACACAGCGACATATGCAGAAAAATACTTTCTCTCTTAACATTTTAGGGGGGGAGGGGGGGCTACGCAATTGTTTCAAGGCTTGGAGATCAGAATAAGGCTTCGGCAAACTAAAAGAAGGTAACTTTTGAAAAATAATTTGAGAGTGAGTGACGGGAAGCAGGACAGCACCGAGAGACACAAAACAGGATTTCAAAAGGCAGCTATACGCGGAATTGCCTCTTTTTTTTTCCCCTCCCCCCTTCCTTTTTCTTAAAAGGGGGGGCAAGCAACTCTGTCGGATCTATTAAAAAGAAGAAAAAAGCCGATCCTTCGTGGCAAAATCTTGGCAGCCCCTGGAAGGTCCTGCACGGTGGCGATCTTCCTTCCCAGGGAAAGCCTAGCGGAAGGTGAAAAGCAGAAGCTGCCGGGGAGGATGGGTCAAGGTGAAGGGGAACACAGTCCCCCCCCCCACCACCTCCTCCACCTGTAACGGAGCCCTACCTCCTTCTCCCGTGCCCAACAGTGGCCTTTACTCACTCACTGACTCCTTGCTGTAGTAGTGCCCGGAGGAGCCTCCAGCCGATTTGGGGCCTGAATATAGGAGCATAGTGGAGGAGCTGGAACTGCTACCGCTGCTGGGCACATCCCAGTCCCAGCGCCGCCTCCTCCTCCTCCTCCTCCTCCTGCGCCGCCTCTTCGCTTCATTCACCCCTCCGGCAACCACCCAGCCCCGTACTATACAGTGCAGCGACGGCTGGCCCTCCCTTACTATCAAGCCGGGGGAGGAGTGAGCTGGGGTGGGGGGAGAGAGAGAGAGAGAGAAAGAAAGGCGGGCGCTCTTCCGCTCGCCCTTAGCAGCCCAGCCGGCCTTCAGCAGCGGCAAGGAGGAGGAACGCGACTCTAGCCAGACGGCGGCGGCCAGCGAAGCAGCCGGCGGAGGGCGTTGCTTCGGGACGCGCTCAAAAAACTCCGCGGCCTGTGCTTAAGCCGCACGTTCTCCGCACCAATGGCTCCCCGGGCGCCAGTCACGCACTTAGGGGACGAGGCGGCGGGAAGGCTCCCCCTCTCTCTCTCGGCAGCCCCAGTTTAACGCCGGTGGGCGCCCTGCGGAGGCTTTATAAGAGAGGAGAAGCCAGCCGGTACACAACCCAAATGCACTGGGGGGGGGGGGTGTGGGGGGGGGGGGCCGGGGGGGGGGGGGGGGGGCCAGAGGACTTCCTTTTTTTTTTTTTCCCTTTTTTTTTTGGGGGGGGGGGGGGGGGGGGGGAGGGAGGGTGGCGGATTTCTCGTATGCCCAGAATGCAAAGAATTTCAGGCAGCACCACCCACAGCACGTAAAAATAACACCATCCTGGCCTGGTTTTCTCCTTCCTCCTCTCGCTCCGGCCTCGACACATAAAGCCCGAGGGGGGGAAGGGAAGGAGGGAGGTGTAAATTGGGGGGGGGGGATAGAGTGAGAAAGAGGAGGAGGGGAAAAAAAACCCGAGAGGAAGAAAGAAGCGATGCAATTTGCAGAATTCTTACAGGGCGACTTTTCTTGCAACCCGTGGCGTAACAGGGCGCTACGTCGCCCTCCCCTCCCCCCCTTTCCAGTAACCTTGTATGTGTTTTTCCAGCTGGAAATATCTGAAGGATTGCTTGGAGGGGGGAGGGGGAGCGAAAGAAGCGAAAGCAGAGGAGGAATTTTTTTAAAAAAGCCACTTACTGTATAAAGTGTCAATGGAGACGGGGGTTGTGGGGAAGGCGGACCGGAGGGGGGGAAAAATACTTGCCAGTTGATCTCAAGGGCTTTGGGGGTTGGAGGGTTTTTTTGGGGGGGGGGCTTTTTTTTAATAAGAAAAAATAATTTATTTCTCCTCCCCTTCGGTGTGATACAGTTGCTTCCCTTACCAACTGTAATAGAAATGATGATGTCTGCGGATAGAAGCTCGCTCCTCTCTCCTCCAGTATGTAAATGTGTAATAGAAGGCAAATATGGAGCAGTTGGCAGCCTCTGCGTTAGCTCAAGGATCCTACTTCATGCAAAGGGGTGGAGGAGAAGGAGGCAACTCTTTGTCAGACGGCCAAGAGAGCCACACAGATTATTGCATACGCACAACAGAGCCTGGCCAAGCCAGCCTTAACCCTTTCCGAGTGTCTTCGTTGCTTCTAGCAAAGGATGTGGGGTTTTGTTAGAATTGCATTTCTCTTTGCCTATCCCTCATGGTCCTTCGCCCTAAATTAAGCGTATATGTCCTCTAAGGGTCTGTCATCTTTCACTGAAGCCCCAAACCTCACAGGGATACAAAGCAACTATTGCCTTTTTTAAAGAGACTTTTGCAAGTGATACCATTTGGGGGATGGGGGGGATACTTAAAACCTTCTAGTATGCATCTGTGCTCAAAATGGACATTAACTTTCATAGAGTTTGCTCCTCATAGAGTATGTTGACCTAGTTTATACTGAGGCGTTACTGTGGTAGTGATCAGAGGCATGAGGGGGAATTTTGTCCTATGTCACAGTAAGATGCAAAGAGTCGAGATGCATGCACCAGGGAACTGCAAATGCATCACTGTTCTGCACTTGACCGCTGGCATACTCCCTAGAAAAATAGTGCATATTTCCTTTGTTTCAGAAGCTAAGCTATGTCAGAATGCAGTTACGTGGATGATAGTGGGAAAATTGGCGATATACCCAGATAACACTACTACTAAGTGAGCTGCACCAGTTTCCAATAGACTTCAAGATACAATCAATGTGTCGGTTCTCACCTTTGTGCCACGGGACCGGATTACCTGTTCCTTCATGGTTTCTGCCTTTCCACTAGGTTTCCTTGATGAAACAGCATCACCTTGTGTGGCCCTGGAAATGTCCTTCCCTGTCATGCAATAGCCTCCCCTCCCTCCAGATATACGGAAGGACTCAACCTTGTTGGCCTACAGCAAGAGTGTCAAACTCACATTTTCACGGCGGCGTCACGTGACATATTGGGACTTTTTCCCCCTTCGCTAAACCAGGCATGGGCGTGGTCAGTGTGTGACACATCCGGCCCATGGGCCGGGAGTTTGACATTCCTGGCCTACAGAAACAAGGATATTGATGGAACTAGTGGTTGTGGTTGTGCTTGATTGGCAGATGCAAGTTTTACTGGGACTTCAACTTTATTTATTGTTCATGTGGCTTTATGTTCTAATTACATTGTTAGCCACCTAGAGTTCCTTGTGATAGGTGAGCAGCCATATAAGTTTATTAAATAGATAAATACATAAATACTCACTATTTTTGACCATGGAGAAATGTCCTATTTAATCCCATAATAGAAATACTTCTTTGATGAAATATGAGATCTCAAATATAGAGTAAGAAATATTCCTTCATTAAAAAAGTATGCATGGGAAAGGTCTTAATAATAAAAAGACTAGCTACTGCACTGTGTTACCCTTTAAGGCAGGGGTGTCAAACTCACATTGTCACATGACATATTGCAACTTTTTTCCCCTTCACTAAACCAGGCATGAGTGTGGCCAGCGTGTGACGCATCCGGGCCACGGGCCGTGAGTTTGACAGCCCTGCTTTAAGGGATAATGGACTACTAGATGTGCTTCCCTTCTCCTATTTTATTATGTTATGGAAAAAACTTACATGGAGAGAGCTAGTTGAGTTATTTATTGTTGCAGATGAAATGAAGCATTAGCCAAAACTGAAGGGAACCTGATTCACTGTGATTAATTGGACGTATGATTGATTAGTCTTTTGCTTTCCCCAAACAGAGTCAATCATTATAAATCTGAGGTATTTTATGCATGTCCATAAAATCTATTTTAACATGATACAATTAGCTATCATTAACTTAATCATTGTGAAATTTTCTGAGTTTGTGTAATGCACTGAACCATAAACTTAAGCACATGTGTTAGGTTTGCACAACATGGTTCCCTAAAATGAGATTGGACAGATTGTTGTTCATTGTGTTTTGTAAACACAGACCAAGTTTGAGAGTGGGGGTGCTCCTGTGGAATTGTGTATATGAAACAATATTCTTCAGAAAGAGTGTTCCAGTTTCCAAGTTAGTCAGATATCAAGGTTATGTTAGAAAAACTGTTGAAAAACTTCAATGCACCCTGAAATACTGTATTGACACTAGCTAACTTTTTCAAGGACTTTCATAGCAACTAAAAAGCAAAAGCTTAAAATAGTACCCAGCTATTTCATTAGAATAAAAAACTAAAGCCAGTTTTGAATCAGTAAGCCTGGTTTATCAGATCTGGCAATTTGAGCTCTAGACAACCTGATAAAGTTTGATAAATAAATTTTCACTTGGAGTTCTATATAAAATGCAGTAATTTAACAAACATACTGCTTTGTGTGGAGTAATTGCTATATGCAACTAAAATAATTACTTAATCAGAATTGAATTATGTTCTGGCTGCAAGAAATGGCAAAAGCTACAAGAAATCAATCTGATTTTTTTCAGCTTAATGCCTAAATACACTGAGGAATGTATTATTAATGAAAAAGTCCAAGTTATTACAATTTAAAACACACCCAAGAGAACCGGACATTAATTTTTTCCCTTCTAAATCAGGATCTTCGACTTCTGTTTTATTTAATAATGCTATCAGCTCTTGTGACTGGCTACAACCAAGACAGGTTTTATGCCCTTTGCCTTTTAGTGACCTCCATAACAATAGAACTGGGGCCCATCAGCATCAATGCTAGGAGCCCTATAGAATCCGAGATTCTCACAACAATCACATTGCATCATCTCAGTACATCAGTATGATATCCAGAGTATAAACTGCAAATCCAGACCACTGAAGTATGGCAGTAGAGATACGGGAAACTATTTGTGCTGCCATCTTGTGGTCATCCATATTTTTGCAACCCAGTTCTGTTACCTTTAGCCCATACACTACATGTATGTGCTTCAAAAATTGTTCAAAAAAAGTGCTTCTCCTTGAATTTTGTCATATTCATTGTAACTGTTTATCTTTTTTTCTACCTGCTTTGCAAGCCTGAAACAAAAAAAAGTGCTGGTGCTTTAAGATGTCAGTTCATTAAGGTTAATATAATTCTTAAATGAGCCACGTCATTTCACATCATTTCTGTAAAATTGTGGGGCTTTTTAAATAAAAGACCTGAGAGAAGTGCTATGCTCACCTGAATTCTGGAGCACATTTTTTGAATTGTTTTCAAAGATTCACAACCATAATATGGGTGTAGTATAGGAATACTTAGATAACAAAGCTCATCTAATGCCTTTGCTTTTTATTCAAGAAAAAAGCAACCCTGAATTGTGAGACTCTTTTACAATAGTGCATAGTTAATGTGCCAGGAGATAAATTGTTACTTGAAAATCCATTCAGTTCAATTGTTGGCAATGTAGTATATATTATTGTTTTGCACACAAACTTATAAGACAAGACTCAGATTGACATTCTAAATGCACATGCATTGCTCAGAAAATATTCCACAATGACATATGAGGTAATGTATACACTATATATGCTGCAGGTAGTGCAGCTACATTTGTGACAGAGGAAAGACATAACAGTTTTGCATTCAGATATGCTGCCTTAACATCATCACTGAGTATTGCAAAAATTCCTCACAGCCTTTGAGTATTATATTCCAAAATAATTGTCATAAAAATAACTTAATTGATGATCTCAGTACAGCCTCTAATGAGTAAGAATAAATCATTTCTCAAAAGCAATCATACAAGCTAGAAGAAAATCCTTTTGGATACAGGCAAGTACTTTGACTGGGGCAATTCACAGAGTCACAACTTTACTTCAGGCACAAACGTTTTGCTCAGCTTTGGTAGGTAGCCCAGTTGTACTGCCAGCATCCAGTCATCCATCCTTCCATAATTTCTTTTCTTTCTTTTTTTTTTCAAACAACTCAGGTAGGCTTCTCAAACTACTAATTCTTTTGAAGATTGGCTTGGCAGTCACTCCCTCTTAGGAAGTTTTAGTTACAGAATTAATATAAATAAACATGTTTTAGATTTTCTGTTTAATTTTAGTCTGTCCTTAGGGAGAAATGTCATTTAATAATTTTGGATTTATCAATTTCTTTATTGTTCATTTTAATGAAGGATCACGAAGGATTTAATTTAAATCAAGTGCTTTCAAAAATCAAATGAAAACCTGAAAAATTTGTGTGTATATATAAATCTGATATATATCTTGATTGATTGATATAATCTAGCCTGAAAAATAAAATATTTATTATGACTTTTAGATTTCTTATATTTATTGTACAAAAATTAAATACGGCTCAAATGTGTCTGAGCCTGAGACTTCTTTCTTAAATATACATAATTATTCATGCTGCTGAAAATGTCAAACATAATTGCCAAAGACCTTAATTATACTGTCACCATTTCACTTGAAAAACATGCCCAAAGATTATGCACATAGGATCTCTTTGAATTAGAATTATTATTCCTAATGTTAATAGGATTCATTTGTAATTATTTGAGGCCCTTGTAGCTTATTTACAGTTGCTGTTAACTATTGGGTAACAATGAGATACACGTTGTAACAATAAGTTGCAGGGATGTATGCAACAATTAGACACAGATCAGTATTGTTTCTGTAAATGCAGTACTGTACTTCGTTAACTTTCTTTTTATCAGTCATAATCCATCTGGATATTGGCTTGAATATCTATACCAATGTCCATGTACAAGAATGATAGTAGAATACATAAACAAATGTGGCAATAGTATACCTATGACACTAGTGAGTCATTCCATTGACTTAGATAATTTAAAAGGGTGGGAATGGAACTCGGTCATTGCCACTGTCCCTTATTAAAGAGCAGACATGGGTGATGGAATTGGACTCTGGAAGGAGAAATACTCAAGTCAATTTAATTTAATTTAATTTAGTTGCACGGGCTGTAACTATTAAGAATTTTATTTGAGCCTTAGGTCATCCCAAGATGATTTGAGCAACTTTAAGGAAAGAATAGAAATTTAGTAGCTTGTGGGAGAAATGTATTTTTATTTAGTTTATTTTAATAACATATTTAGTGGGATTTATCATCTACATATTTAATACAGGTAATCCTTGATTTACAACCATTCATTTAGTGACCATTCAAAGTTACAATGGCACTGAAAAAAAGTGACACAACCATTTTTCCACACTTATGACTGTTGCAAGACCATTGCAAAATCCCCATGGTCATGTGATGTACATTCAGATGCTTGACAATTGACTCACATTTATGACAATTGCAGTGTCCCGCTGTCATGTGATCCCCTTTTGTGACCACCTGACAAGCAAAGACAATGGGGAAACCAGATTCATTTAACAACCGTGTTACTAATTTAAGAACTGCATTAACAAATGTGGCAAGAAAAGTTGTAAAATGTTGCACAACTCACTTAACAAATTTCTATTTTCAATAGCAGATTCTACTGCTAATTTTTGCTCCTGGAATCTTGACATTATAGATAATTTCCATGGCCTCATTACTTAAAATTACAAGTATATCTTTCCAAAAAGCAATGCTATATTATGCAAGCATGTTGATGGACTTTAAGTCACACTTATCAGGTGAATGTCGTTGACCTCTAATATGCTGAAGGCTACATTAACAATGCAATCCTATGCATTCCTATTCAGAGGTAAGTCAAATGGGGTTTACTCCAGGGCAAATGGATAACAATCAAGACTGAAGTTTAAATTATAAGTTATATTGGATGTCTCCATCAATATTCTTTCCATTCTGGTAAAAATTCTTTTACCTCTTCTGGTAAAAGATTCTTATCTAGCAGATACTTTTAGTTGAATATAGTTGAGTATACTTTAGTATAGTTGAGATTGTAAAGCCATTTTTGCATAATTACAATGCTATAAACTTTTTCAAATTAAAATATCCACATCACATTAAGAAAGCGTTATTCAGCAAAGGCCAACTATTAAAATTATTAAAATCCCGAGATCATTGTTTTTGGCGACTGTAAATATATATTCAAATATTTAGAAACTTGTTTCTAAATGCTATAAAATGTACAATTAAATGAAAATTATTTAAATAATAAAAATAATTATTAAAAATAATTTAGGGAATAATGTACCACAAAGTCAATTCCAACTTGCAATTTTATAATTCTACACAATGTAGAAATTAGATTATGTTATCACACAATGTTCAGAATTACTCAGGAAAGCAACATGGAGACACAGATTGGCAGCATCAGTCAAACAACACCTTTCACCTCCAAACATCCTATATTTAGGTTGGTGGGAAAAATGTGAAACAAAAGTTGAAAAATATTTAAAAGTAAAAGCAAACTTGAAGGTGAGCTGTGATTCAATCTCTACTTCCCAGTAAAGATTACAGTTTGGGATAATGTATTTTTTTCCCCAGCATAATCTTAGAACTCAATGCTATTGTGGAAATGCAAACAATTATGATAATAATCTTGTGTAGGCCCTTAAGGAAGAAAACTGTTGTCCAATTTAATTTACAACCTGTTTATTATTTGCTGCAGTAATTAATGTAACCCATATTTTGTATGCTAAATGGGATTCTAACGCAGAATGTTTAGCATGTATATTTGGTTTCTAATGAACATTCTAGAAGTATTCAAAAATTCAGAAACAATTGCATCTGACAATCACTGATAGAAGCACCTTCATCTGAAAGACCAGTAGTTCAGTTTATTTGTACAGCCATTCCTCTGTTAGCAATTAGTTTGGTTAGCTGTCGGTTTCCAAATATGACATTAATAAACTGTCATAAAAAATGTATGATCAATGTGTGCATTTGCAATGAAATTTTATGCACCTCATAAAAAGAAGTCTTCAGTGTGATTAAAATCTAGTCAGTTTCAGGCAGCGACAGGATTCTAATGAACTAAGTAAGATCAGACAGCTGACCTTATTTTTTATTTATTTGTTTATTTACATCCTGCCTTTATTATTTTTACAAATAATTTATGGCAGCAAAGATATCCAACACACCTTTCTCCTCCTATTCTCTTACAACAACTCTGTGAGGTGAGGCTGAGAGAGAATGAGGGGCCGGAGGTTACCCAGCTGCCTTTTATAGCTAAGGTAGGACTTGAACGCATGGTCTCTTGCTTTTAAGCTGGTGATTTAATCACTAGAACAAACTGACTTGATAAATTTCAGTTAGATATTTTAGGGAAGACTACACTGCTGAGAACAACACCTCAGGAATATGTAGACAGCTTGTTTAAACAATCTATCTACCCCATGAGGCAGCAAAAAAAGGGGGAAAATGGGTCAGGCACAGGATACTGTATACAGGAACTTTATCTGAATGACACAGCAATAACCACTGATCTTTGTACTCTCTCTCACTCTCACTCTCTCTTTCACTTAATGACCATTTAGCTTAACAAGCAAATAATTGGAACAGAACACAGTTGTTAAAACAAGAAGGAGGTGTACAAAACCTTTGTATCTTTTAAGCAAATTATTTCACATTAAAAGGGAATTTATACACTGAGAAATGTTTTTATTTTCTTTATTGTAAAGACTTCTATTGCGTCCTTTCTTTTATGGAGGTTAAAGACATCTAAACAATACCTGATTGTTGTAGAAATATTTTGAAATTATATTCCTGCTTGACCCCTGATTCTAGGCCATTGCTAACCTTTCTTAACCCAAATTATAGCACTTTTCATTGGTTTAGCATTATGAGCACCAATATGTCCATCAAATGTGTTCATATTGCAAATATCTTGCTAGGTTCCATATTAACGTTCTTGGTTTTAATGAAACATAACATTCTTGTCATTTCCTCTTGAACTTTTACTTCCAAGACGTCCTTTCATTGCAATGTAGAAATGGCACTTCTCTAAAATTTCTACAGTGTAAACTCAAGCTGTTTTTACTTTATATAGTTTGAAAGAAAACAACAGGCCAGTGAATGACAGCTAGATTTTACACACACATTTCTATGTTACATGTTGCTCAACTTGTCCAAGTAATACCTTTTAGTGGAAGGGTATCTCTGAACCCAAATACAAGAAAGGAAAATGTGTGCCTATCTACTGCTTATCACAAATATATAGTGTCAGAAGTTTATTGACGCAAAGACTTTGGCATTGCACAAACTTGATGAGTCTACACCGTCAGACTGCAACTTTTCCATCTTACCACTAATATTATTTTTAAAAACTCTGGATAAAACGATGGCTTGGATTTGCTAGGAGGATAAAGTAGGAAAGTTTTAAAATAGGAAGTATAAAGAATGATAAGTTATTCCTGCTAACTTGCATATTTGAAAATTACACTGGGCAACTTCAACTATTGTTCAGCATCTCAGCTATTGTTATGTAGGCCTTTTATGTTCCATTTATTCTCTCTGGCAATTAAAGATTTATATTAAACCATTGGGAGAATATCTGGAGTTTGGAATGAGATGTCACTAGCACAATTATGATGCCCAGATCTATTACTTCTTGCTATTTCCTTAATCATTGCCTACATTTAGTAATGACTAGGTGAATTTGAATTACCTGGTATTACTCTAGATAAGACTGAGACGCAATTGATCAGTAGAAAAACAAATTGAGAAAGTTGATATACCTGAGTCATAGACTGTACTTCCCATAAATGAGCAACTTCATTGCATCAAAGTTCTCCTTGATTTTCTACCATCTCTAAACCAAGTAGCCACTGGGGCAAGGATCATTTACGGCAATTTGTTTGTACTGTATTGGCTGTGAATACTTCTGAACCATTTGGATCTAACACCATTTCTCACCTTCATCACAATTACTATATCCTACATGGAGTTATACTGCAGAACTAAGTTGTTAACTAGTGTACAACATCTGGTCTCTATGCTATCTATGCTAAAAGACATCTGCTAGTTGCCAGTTGCTTTCCAAGCATCTTAAGATCTATATGACTTAGGGCATATCTGTCTGCTTCTTTCAAGATCCGTAGATCTGCACAGTTGGACTTTGAAGAAATAGGATAGAAAGAACATTTGACACTTTTGAACTTTGATGTGGAAGATATGACAGCCTAAAAAAGCAATCCAATGAATCACTAAACAAATCAATTCAGAGTTCTCACTTGAGCCACAAATGCCCTGGCTCAAATTATCTTATTTTTGGACACATTATGTGAAGACCAAGCTCTCTCAAAAAGATTATCATGCTGGAAAAGGTGAAAGGAAAGAAGAGAAGAGAAGAGGATGACAAGTAGTAAGGTGAGTGGACTCAGTTGCAATGAGGATCCAGATT